TGGCAGGGTTGGCGTCCCTGAAGAGAGTCCAGGAGAGACTATTGGTGAAGGTATGGCTCAGCTGTAGCAGAGATCCACCATTTTAGAGAGGCTAGTACCATTGTATGGTTGCTGGGGCAACAGCAGCTGTGGGTGGAGCTGGCCTGAACCTAGAGATGAACTGTGTGTGCTGACAATGGTAATAGAGCTGGGGAAATGATGACCCTCGAAGCCCAGAAGATTGTGAGATGTCTGACATGGAGCTTTACACTGTTGTTCTGCTTTGATTTGAATCTAATGGTGCCCAGGTTCTTCCCTCTTAAAGTAAGAAATTATATGACTTATTTTTTTTTACCTCACTTTATAGGAGCTCACAATTGTGAGACTTTGGAATTTTAGAGAGACTGAAATTTTAGACAGACTTTGGATATTTTAGAAAGACTTGGGAGTTTTACATAGACTGAAATTTTAGAGAAACTTTGAATATTTTAGAAAGACTTTGGAATTTTAGAGAAGCTTTGAACTTCAAAAGAGACTTTGGATGTTTTAAAGAGACTGAATTTTAAAGTATTTGGAGTTTTAAAGACTGTGAGACTTTGGAATGTTTTATAATGTGATATTAATATTTATATAACATCTTGGTAATAAACAAGAAAGGAGGGTTTATGGTTTAACAGTAACGTATTGATGTGCCAAACTGACAAGAGGTCAGTTGTCTTGGTTGATTTTGTGTTTGTTTGTTGTTTTTTAAACTTGATATAAGCTATAATTATCTGGGAAAAGCAACTTCTGTAAGGCATTTTCTCCTTCAGAAAAATGGCACAACAAAAGGTTTGCCTGGAATCAGGAATGTGCTTGTGAACAGCAGTAGACCTTTAAACACTCTTCTCTAACGAATAAAATTGGGGTGACACTGTCTAATCAGAAAGAAAGTACTTCCTTTGAGGTGGGTTTAATGTGCAGGCAGCTCTTATTTCTATGAGGAAAGTTAATCAATAAGCAAATACAAGAGTTTTTCAGATTTATTTTATTTTACTTGTGTGGGCATTTTGCCTGCATGTATGTATGTGAACCATGCACACACTGGCCCACAGAGATCAGAAGAGGATGTTGGAGCCCCTGGAACTGGAGTTACAGATGGTTGAGAACAGCTAAAAGGCCAACCATCTCCAACAGAGGTCACTATTGTTTTATACCATGATTGAGAGTGGGGATGAGAAGCCAGAAGTCTATCCATGGGAAGCTTATCCATGGAGAGAAAGCTCAATCAATCAGGAATTCCATCTGACAACCTTGCCTTCCTCAGTTGGTTTCTGCAGGATGTTGCCAGTAACCAATTTGATAATGTTATCTTTATATGGTACTATTCGTTTACTTAGAAACCTCACCTGAGGGGACATTTTATTCTGCCTGGGACTCTTTTTCATTGGGAACCCCTGCTGACTGTCTCAATGGGGCTTCTCCAATAAATTTCTACTGGATATTTCTATTCTCTAATTGGGTGATGTTACATTTTGTTTGCTTTCTCATTTGGCCTACTCCAGTTGTCTCTACTAGAAGTTTTATGCACCCATTTAACACTGCTTTGCTCTCTGATGCTCAGTATTTAGTCTTTTGACTGTTACATACTCCATAACTTCAATCATCCCAAACTTAGAATATAGCTCTCCCAGACCATTCTCTGGGACCACAAAGAACAAAATTGCTTAGTGATCTATTAAAAAGTCAATTTGGATACAGCAGATCTAAAGTAGGGTGTGCAAATCTGCCTTTTAACTAGCTCTTAGGTAATGGTTCATGAACCATACACCAGCTACCATTGTCCTGGGTGAACGCCCCAAAGTAGACTATGCTAGTAAAGGAAACACTGGTTGGAACTATTGCAGCCCATCTGAAGAGCCAAGAGGATTTGTGAGGAGTTCAAGTTGTTTGGAGCAAGATGTTTGCCTTTCCTGACTTCAACTCCAGAAAAGGGTTGTACTTTCAGAAATGCATTTTTATAATAGTAAACACATTTCAGTCAATATGCAAAGGATAGAAGTTATGCTTCTGTGTTGTTTCCTTGAGAAATTATCTCATCTTTCTTGTATTAGAAATGATCACTCATCGGTGTTGAGTCTAATGAATAAGCTTGGCGTGTTACAGCATAGTCTGTATAGATTTGCCTTTCCCCTAGCAAAAGGGACAGATGAAACTCTGCCCACTTTATCTACATCATCTCCAAGCCCATTAGTTTTCATTTTTCCAAACTCTGAGGACTAAACGAAGCATAAATTCTGACACTTTTCTTTAACCTCCTCATTTTTAAAATTAGGGGCTATATATGGCATTCTCTGGGGTGTCTTCCAATGCTAATAATCCATGCTTCTGAGAGAGTATTAAACTCTCTATATTACAATCTGTGGATTAGTAAAGTTTTCTTTTCTGACATGGTAGGTAGAATACTTACAAAGAGTTCAGACTTTTGAATAGGAAATATCACTTGGGCTTTACATGAAACTCTGAGCGATTAAAGTGAAACAAACTTACATTCAGTTTAGCGTTTTATTGCCTGGATAAGCCAAAACTTGTAGCTCAATTGTCTTCCCATATAACCCATGAAACCCAGAGATTCAAGCATTACTTTAGGCACAGTTATGATGTGGAAGTGTTGACACTTCTGTAAAGCATTTACAACTTAATTGTGGACTGTACACACTTCATATCAAGAAGGTGGAGTGCATGGCAGGGAACGTGGGAGATGAAAGGGCTTTCTTCCATTCAAAGGCCCACCTACTGGAAGCCTCTTGGCACGGTGACCAATGCGTCCTTCAAGAAATTTGCTGACTACATCTGATAGGCACCTCTCGTATTAGCTCTTCTCACCAAGGCACGGAGCTTGGGCGGGCCATATTTACACCCACTGTGACCCTGTCACTCCCTTGTTGTCAACTTTCTTTCGTTAGCCTGTCTTCTGTTACCAAGAACATCGATTTATAAGGAACAACCTTATTTTTTTTCCAGCTCTGCAGGGTCCAGATCAATGTGCCAGGGCTGGTGATTGTCTTCTGTCTGCTTTGCTTACTCATTTAACACTTGTAGTCCTGGCTGGCCTGGAACTCACTAAGTAGCCAAGGCTGGTCTCAAACTTCCAGTGAGCTTCATGCCTCTGACTTGCAAGTGCTAATATTATAGGCATTTTTGTGCCACCGAAGCCAGGATGGCTTTCTTTTTTTTTTCCTTTTATTTTATTTTAAGGATGGCTTTCTTGATGGCATAGCAACTAATATGCTACCATTTCTGTAAATTGAGGATGGAATGTGCAAAAACATTTTATATTTATCTGTAGAGATGTGTAAACACTGCAGTAGACATAGAAAGAAACTAGTAACAGCACAGCAATGACCACCAACTGCAGGGTTTGGGGATGGATGCTGAGCATTAATGGGACAAGGAGCAGTAATAGTTAAATAACTTTGCACTGGATACCATTTTTCACGCCTTTAGTTCTGAGACATGTTATTTTAGTTCTTTAGACCATGAGACAGAGGTTCAGGAGATCAGAGCAAACTGGTATCCTCTGACATGACAGGACCACTGCACCCACAAACTCATAGCAGCAGTGGTTGCCTGTACAAGACCCACACAAGACCAAGACAGTCAACATTCTAGCATGGAGGGAGAAGAAGTTTCAAAGCTCCCACCCTTAACTGAAAAACTCTGGCCACTTGGGGGTTTCTGGGGGAAGGAAAGTTGATTTTCTTTAAGCATGTAGTTCCTGATAGACCAACCATGCTCTACCAGATGGTTCAGGAGTATATGGACAGCACAAATTCAGAGTCATGGAGTTATTTAAATGAAGAAGAAGGAGGAGGAGGGAGGAGGAGAAAAGGAAGAGGAGGGAGGAGGAGGGAAGAGGAGGAGGAGGAAGGGGAAGAGGAAGAAGACAACATGAAGTTGTGGGTGCATAGGAAGGTGGGAGTAGGTCTAGGAAGAGTTAGGAGAGGAGTAAGGGATGAATAAGATCAAAATACATTATGTGAAATTCTGAAAGAGTTAATAACATATATTTATACAGACATAGTCCTATAGTCAAGGAAGAAGGCTCTGTTGGTCAAGACTCAGATTCATCTACCATGGTGAAATGTAAACGTAAGTAGGAAAAACTTCCTGGTTTTCTACTCTTTGTATGTTATGTTAGTAGTGATTAAGATAGAATGTCAAAAGGAGGGAAAAATCTGTTTATTTGTGCAAAGATAGTTTGCATTCCATTTACACGGACATTTAGATGAAAATTCTTTCACATAACAAGTATTTTCATAACACATCAATCTCCCTGTGTATATTTTATGTTTTATGAATCTATGGTGACAAAGCCTTTCCCTACTTTCTCATAATGCATAAAATAGTTTATTTATATATGAAAAACCTAACATTCAAAAGTATGTTAAAAACATCTATATGCTTACTTTTTATTGATTCTTTGGGAATTTCACGTCATTCATCTTGACCTGAATCCTGGAATAGTGAGCTAAAATAAATCCTTTCACTTCAAAATAAATAAATAAATTTAAAAAATAAAAAAGTAAAACACATTTTAAAATGTTAAGTGTATAAGTAAAAAATGTAATAAAACTCTAGTTATTGAGAATTATCGGGAGTGCTTGTTTTTCAATGTAGAATGTTCCATCTTCATAAAATATTAGAAACTCTGCATTTTGCAACAAATCAGCCTAATTGATTCTGATGTAGGTCTGAGGAACCAACAAATCTAAAGGACAGGCCTGGTGAGATGGCTCAGCAATTGAAAGGTGCTTGCCACTAAGCCTGAGAACTGAGTTTGATCCCCAGGGCCCACATGGCAGAAGAAGAAACCGCCTCCCACAAGTTGGTCTCTGATCTCCTGCATGTGTGTCCTGGTGTACATGTCCCCCTAAAATAATAATGATGGTAATAGTGATGATGATGATGATGATGATGATGATGATGATAACAGTTATTATTAATAACATTAATAACAAAAGGGACACAGAGCCACAGACTGCAGTCACGCAACTATTTTATTGACTATTGGATGCATGCATCTGTCCAGTTTATAAATTATGCTTTATTGTGTTAGGAAATAAGAGCAACTACTTATCTTCTACCACTTTGAACATTCAGTTTTCTACACTGGATTCAAGTTACTGTCACAGAAAGCACACAGGTTGGGACAGCAGCTTTGGAAGCATTTCTGGAAAAATCCAAATTCAATCACAGAGCACAGTTTAACAGAGCAAGTTGCACATGGCCACATAGTTACACACGTGGCAAAGGGAAAAGGATCTGAGTCAGTCATGTTCATATTGTGAATTTCTCCTACATAATTCATTAATCCAAAGAGTCTAGACAAAACCAAGCTATGACATTATTTACACTGAGTACCACACCTGGAACTCGTTCTGAGTTATTTAACACAGAGTATATTTTTCAATGCAATAAATATTTATGGCTAATATTAACAAGTACAATTATAATTTACAAAACATGTGCCTAGTATTTCAAACAGAACATAAAATGACACTAAAGAAGCTTGTGCCATGTAGTTTCACAACTCACTGGAGTGTATCATCTCAAACCCTGTTGTCTCGAATACAAGAAAGATCATGTACAAATCAGTAAAGCTCAGCTTACAGAACAAAATATTTTTTAGGGAAAGCATTTTTACTTTTTTGTTATCATAGTCCCTAGCTAAAGCCAATGCAAAGGAAAACTTGAATACGCAAGAGGCCCAAATGATACAATGTGTCTTACATATTGAGGTTCTGAGTTATACCAAAAATTTCAAGTTTGCCTGGGAGTTAATGAAGTCTTGAATGTATGAAGTTTTATCATCCATTAAAATGATTCTCTTAAGAAACCATAAAGTTATGAGAGTCTCTCCATGTTCTATTACTCTGGAAGTGATTTTTGAATTTGGGGAAATATAAATCATATCTCCTAGAAATGTATGAACTCGGGGGAGGGGGAAGGCAAGAGACAGTGGAATCTGGGATTCTAACATTGCATCCAGACTACTGATTCCTTCTTTGAGTTCCTGGTTAAGTGCCTTAGTCCAGGAGTATTTTTTCCTATTAGAGGCCGTTCCTGTAGCCTGGGTCTCTAGGCTCCAGGAAACCATTTACTGCCATATCGTATTTATTTAGTAAGGAAGGGGGGTGAGTGAGTGGCTCTGCCTCTTTCCTGATATGCATTCTCCAATGAATCCTGATTCAAAGAAAGCTTGATGGTTAGGACTTGGGTCCTCTTCTCTGACTTTGTCAGTGGTGAGTTATTTGTTGTTGATTTGGTTTTTTGGTTGTTATTTTAAGACAAAGTGTCACTATGTAGCCCTGGCTGTCCTGGAACTTGTAGCAGTTCTTGTGCCTCAGCCTCTTTGAATGATGGGATTACAAGCATGTGTCCCCAAGCAGCCTGCTCAGCAGGTTTTTCAGTTAGTCACAGAACCATGAGACTTAGTAGGTGCTTGCAACTAATGTGTATCTTTGGGTTGGGATGAGGGTACAAGCTAGGGACTTCCCTGATCAACCAGTTTGTACTACATCCCAGCCTTGACCTACGATGTGTCCTTTACCCAATTGGCTTTAATTCTATCACTAGGTCAGGCCTTTGGGCAACATCTGGAGTGGCAACATGGCTTTGTATTAAGTCTTGGGATCTTCATTTCTCACGCAGCCTGAATTTGGGAAGTAATGCTGGATGAAGGTGTGGAATCAAGAGAAATTCTGCTCTTTATTTATATTCTGCCACTTGACTCTTCCATGTAATCTTAGGATTGTTAAGTAATGGTCTTGAGTCATGATTTCATATGCCCAGGAAAGAAGTTCACATTTGAATGCTTGGTGACATTAAGTCCCTTGCCTCCCAGCACTTTCAAAGCCACAGTTCATTCAGGTTTTAGATAATTTCATGGCCACTGTTTTTCCCCAAGCATCTTGTCCTATGTCTGTGCCTTCCATTTCCTTATAACATGGGAAATTATTCCCACTTCTTTGCAGACAACAATAACCCTATTAACTCCCTTGTACCAAGGTGAGGAGACTCTTTCTAGGGGCACCAAAATTACCTGGAAACTTGGGAAGCAATGATTGTCATTTTCGAGAATGAGCCATAAGGAATAAAGCACAGTTAATTCAGATCAGAGCAAAATGAAATCAGATTAAATTGCAGTGGACGAAACAACCTTTTCCTTTTCAAGGTCAAATGTGGTTTGATTTTGACAGCTCATGCTTTAGTCCCATGGTTCCGTGGATCTTTTAATTCAGTGCTAGATGGTCACAAGTAAGTGAATTTAATACTTCCAAATTCCCACACTAAAGGATGTCAATGGGCTTTTTGGTCAGTGGGAAAGGTATTGGTTTGATGAGGTAATGAGTGTGAGAATGCTTTATAGACTGTGAACATGAGGTAAATGCAATATTCTTTTGAATTAATCATGGACCATAATCGTCTAACCAACGATTCCTACATTGAATACATGTGCAACCTTGAAATTTTAAGAAAATATTTAAACTCTATTGAGTGCATTTCTAACATGAGGTTTCATAAAAGGAAAGTTTGTTCTTCATGTGCTTTTTGTTGACCGCTCTAGATATATGCTCTCCTGGAGCATATATTTGATCTCCCTTTATCTAATAAAGGATGTCTTTAAAGACCCAAATTATAATATTTTAAAATTTCTTTTTATTACCTTTGTTTATCTGGGTGTGTGTGTGTGGAGGGCATGCATATGCCACAGTGCATGTGCGGAGGTCAGAAGACAACTTGCAGGATAGTTCTTGCCTTCAACTGCATGGGTTCTGGGGGTGGCATTTAGTTTGTCTGGCTCAGCAGTAAGCGCCTTTGCCAGTTGAGCTATCTCACTGGCCATGAAGGCCAGAGTCAGAGTGAGAGTGGAGCGGTGTTAAAGTTGCTGTGTCTGTGTGCTGTGGGAGGGGTGTGGCCGGGAGGAAGAGCACTCCAGACACAGAAGGAGGAGAGCTCAGGGTGATGTGCTTTCACTGATTAGCTCATGTGCACATGCACACAGAGAGGCAGAGAAGAGCGAGCAGGAGCGAGAGAGATTGGTCCCATAAAAGTAAAGCACTCTTGCTTCCTCTCAGTTGTTAGTTCATTCCATGAAAATGGGGCCAAGGTTAGAGGAATTTTGTAAAATATACTCTGGCCGGGCGGTGGCGGCGCACGCCTTTAATCCCAGCACTCGGGAGGCAGAGGCAGACGGATCTCTGTGAGTTCCAGGCCAGCCTGGTCTACAAAGTGAGTTCCAGGAAAGGCACAAAGCTACACAGAGAAACCCTGTCTCAAAAAAAAAAAAATACTCTGTTTCTCCCCGAACCTCACGGCTAGTTCTATAATCCATTCTCTCACAACCACTCCCTCCCAGTGTGGAGGTGAAGAGATCCAATGGCAAGAAAGTGTGTATCTCCCCACTTTTACCATGATTTGGGGTACACTGTTCAATCAGTCCTCATAGAGTCAGGTCCTCAGGGCAATTGTTTCTATCTGGCTTCTGGGGAAAGTGACTTACCCACCTTTTAGCCCACAGATGAGGATGTCATTCAACACGTCATTCTCCAAACAAAGATAATCCCTTTTACTAGAAGCCATCTGACATATGATGAGGCTGGGCAACCAATAACCAACTGCTCCTCTTGGCGGCAACAAGAACTTTATAACCCAAGTTCTCCCACATCTTACAGTCAAGTTCATTTACTTCTCTTTAGTGTGCACATTGCTAACAAGATGAGGCTACTTTGTCTGTAGCAGCTTCCGAATAGTTTCCCTACAGGCTCTCCGATCTCTAAGCTGAAGAACCAAATTATTAGTGGGGCAAAGAGGCTTTGCTAATGAGACAGAAAGCTAGATTCAGTGGGGAAGTGAGAGCAGCCAGAAGAACTGGGTTGAGCCATCCACATTTATGGGGAATCATAAAATCATCAGCAGGGAGGAACCTTGTCTGCACTTACCAGGGAGGATGATCTTGCTGCCGAATATCACTCCCAATGGCAGCTGTACCTCTCTGCCAACAGCAGCCCTTGGTAGGGAGACTGCTTTGTTTATTGCTTAATCTATCACTGTTGAGCTGCCTGCCTTGGGGAGGCTCAATTTAAGATAGATTGAAAGGTAGTATCTGTCAATTGAATAAACACAGATGGTTTTCCACAGCAAAAATTGATTTTTTTTTCCTTCACCAAAGACATAAGTGCTAAACGTGATTATCTTTGGAAGCCAGGCATGAAATGGTTCAGCTCCAACCCCTGTGTGTTCTGCCCTGGCAGAGAAGGGACACTATATGGGTCTCAGGTTTATCATATGATTTTAGGTTCTTGATTTTAAAATAAAACTTAAATTTAGTTAGAGAGGGGATGGACCAATTAAGTCTTTCCTAATAAGAAGGTCCAGCTCAACCCATTATTTAATTCACTCTATGTTTAATCAGTTTGGGTCACTGGCTGCCAAAAAACTCCCTCCAAATCTTTCATCTACAAGTCACAAGGAAGAAACAAGATTTGCCTTAGGACACACTGTTTGTCTAGTGGCTAGTAAAGAGATGCTCTGTCTGTGCCCTGATGTTAACTGAAGGAGACAGGAGGCTGAATCCTGTTCTGGAAACATCTCTAGAAGCAGGTATATCAGAGATGCTAAAACTACTATCGCAAATTCCATATGCCAGAATTCTAGACATCCCATCTATGTTAGCAGCTATCTAGGCATGGAGCCATTTATGTTCAAGGCTTTTGAAGGGTTGAGACAAAAGAGCAAAGTTGTGACACAGTATTTCAAGAGAACATGTGTGTGAAAGCTAAAAGAAGAGCGAAGAACAAGAGTTCCCCTTGAATAAGGAGAAGCCTGAGCCACACGTTTTCTTATGTATCTTTCAGCTCTAATTCTAAAACAGCACAAGCTCATGGCCCTTTATTCATGTGAGTGATGTCAAGGAGTCCTTGGTAGCAGAACAACCTAGCTCCATTCATCCTGCCCATGTGCACGGGAGCATGGAAGAGTGGGTGCAGGGGTCTCCAATGACTTGCGGTTGTAAGAGAAACAGAAGTGTACTAACTGTAAGGAGATGGGCCACACATGCTTTCAAGGCATAACTGGAGGAAATGAAGAGACTCGGAGGATCTTAGCACTAGAAGGGACTTAGCTCTGTCATCTCATTTTAAACATGAAAGGGAAGCCTAGGGGAGAAAAAATGGATAGCCAACGTCATATAGCTAGAGATGAAGTTGGGATAGCAAGACAACTTGGTTCTTTTACCTCCACTGTGTGTCTTGCTTTTCAAACAGTGCAATGTAATTAAGGACTACCAGAAAAGCTGGTGTTTATAGTACATAAAAGCCCAGAGAAAGTGGGAATGAAGAGATTTTGTTCCAGCTGGTACAATTGTAAGCACAGATCCTTACACTGTCTTGGTCCTAATGCCTAAAGCTTCACAGCCAGCCAGTACTTCCCTGCATCAACCGACAGAAAGCTTTTTTTTATGTGCTATGTGCTTGCTGTTTATATCTCACCCAGGCAGAGAAAGCTGGAACTAAAATTGCCTTAGGATTTAAGGGATACACATTAGGAAACACTTGTACAACTTGGATTTAGAGTCAAGTGAGTCTGCATATTCAGTCTGTCAGAATTGGCCCATCTTTAAGTTCAGAAAAAGTCAAACCAGGATTTCTCAAGTAAGATAGTTCAAACTTTACAAAGTCCTTTCTGTGTATTTAGATAGATGGAGCTACCAGGCCAGTCTTTTTCTGCATGCAGGCTATTTCATACACGTTATTTTTAAATAGAAATGAAAATGTACCTGTTTTAGTCAGTTTAAAAATTTAAGGTTCCTGTGACTTTTTTTACACATACTCAGACACAAATTCATGTTACTAAAACTATATTAATTTCCTCCACACACTTTAGGGAAACTATACATCCAATATAAACATGATTTTTTTCTCTACAGTTATGATCTTTCTCTTATTGAAAGTACTGTTTCACCATAACAAGGAAATTAAGTCTAAGTAAATATACTTGATTTAAAACATGTATACCAAGAATAAACGCCATCCTTTATACATTTATAAATAATTGTTACTTTGATAAAATGAGCAGTTTTTTCCCACAGAAGGATTTCCCCTCCATGGGTTAACGAAAATTAGAATTTCTATGAAACAAAAAGTCTGACCACAAGCTGTTGCTCTATATCCATACATGGATCTATGTGTTTGGTTGTATTTTGCCTTAACATTTTATATTGGGTGTTTCTCCTGTGTCCTCAGCAACATCTTTTAAAAAGTCAATATTTAGAGGTTTGTTTTATATTACACTGCTTCCAATGTTATAAATGAAGTCCATTCCTCACACATGGGACTCTTTCTTAAAAGAGTTGGCTTCTCATTTTAGGAATGTAAATTAAAGTTGTCCCTTGGTTTACATATTATAGATATTTCTGGAAAAAAGAGTCAAGCCATGTTTTGAAAGCAATCAGCTTCTGTTTAAATAAAATCTTTCACAGAGTAGATATCCAACGCGTGATTTCTCTGCTCTCTTTGTTCACATAATTTCTATGACTTAACTGACGACACTTGCATAGCAGGGCTTGGTGCTTTGAATAATAATGTCCAATTTGTTCCTTCTTTTTAACAGGAAGATTTGATCTCCATCTGAAGAAGCCCTCCCAAATTGAGACAGAAAATGAAGCCTGCTGGCTTCCTTTGAGATACACTAGTGATTGATGCATTTGGATATCTCTCCTACCCATCTGAATCGCTCAGCCTCCTGAAGGGTCTTTGGAAGGTATAGAGATAACAACCAATGGCAGGGCTCCTGGCCATCCATAAAACAAGATCTGGAGTCCTTTAGGAGGCAAGGTTGAGAAGTTAGTCTAGACATACCCCTCATGACAGATGTTCCCATTGATGAGGCTGAAGGTGGCCGAGGGGTTGGTGCTCTTGAAGGAGGTCATGCAGGTGGTACTTCTGCCAGTGCTGTGGGACCGGTTCATCAGGCCGGGCTGGCAGCAGAGGAGCTGAGTGTTGAACTGCTTCCTGAAGCTCTTGCTCAGCAGATAGAGGGCAAAAGGGTTCACACAGGAGTTGGTGAAGGCCAGGAGGCGGGCACAGATGCTGGTGACAAAGTGGAGCATGGAGGTGTCTACCTCAGAGTAGTGGTAGGAGCGGTACAGGTAGATGACATGGTTGGGGAGCCAGCAGAAGGCAAAGAGGCCCACAAACACCAGTACTGTCTTGGCAAGCCGCTTGCGGGATTCAATCTGAGCAGAGAGAGAGAGGCAGAGGGGGCTCAGTGTTAGATCAATGAAGACAAACAGAGACAGGGAAATGGATGATGGAGCAGAGCCACAGAAAGAGTTCAATTATAGATGAAGATAATGAGAGAGAGGGAGAGAGAGAGAGGGAGAGAGAAAGAGAGAGAAGGGGAGGGAGGGAAAGAGAGAGAGAGAGAGAGGGAGAGAGGGAGGGAAAGAGAGAGAGAGGGGGGGAGATAAGGAGAGAGGCGGGGGGAAAGGAAGGAAAACAGAATCAGAAACACAAATTGACAAGGCAGGAAGCAGAAACCCATGAGGTAAAATAGTTAGAATATGCTGCTGAGAACAGATCTTTAAACCAAGTTGATTACATGCTTGAATGGATCGCACAATGAAATTCTAGTAAGTGCCCTCTTTTCTCTCCAGAGAGTATTGGGGCAGTTCTACTTCATGCCTTTCCTTGCTCTACAGTTAATTATTTCTTATCCCCTCTGATGCTCAAAACAGCAGCCAGCTTTATTCTTCCTCATTGGCCAAGCTGAGATAAGTCTGTATTATTATTTTTTAATCTCTAGCTATTTCTGGACGACACAGTGAGGAAGGTGATTATACAAAACAGAGTGAACATCTCTTTTTGTGCTTAACTCCCTTTGTGACTTCAAGGGGGAACTTCTTTCTCATTAAACAATTTAGGGTACAGTGGGTATTTCCTTACTAAAAAGCCTTTCGAATAGGTAGCCAGTTGTACTGACAACTGCCATTTCTCCTTGGTAGGAAAAGAACCTAGGAAGGGAAGCTCTCCAAGGGAATCATCTATTTTCTTCCATGGAGCTGGGGAGTCTTTTTGTTCTACCATTAAATATATCAAAGATCTGCATTTGGGCTAGGAGGCAAAAAGAAGTGACTGGGGCTAGAGAGATGGCTTGCAAAGGACCTGGGTTCAGTTCCCAGCTTGCACATGGTGGCTCACAACCATCTATAAGTCTACTCCCATGGGATTTAGTGCCTTAGTGCCCTTTTTTGACTTCCATGGGTACCAGGCACACTCATGGTGCATATACATTGCAGGCAAACACTCACATACATAAAATGAAATACATAAATCTTAAAAAAAAATAAAATTACTGACAAAGAAAGAAAAGCCAGAGCCCTTGGTTTCTACTTGTCCCTCTAGGATAAAATTTCAGGGGGTTATGGGAGATGGAGTGAGGAGTAATATATGGGGATATCCTGCATGCTGGGACTTGTAGCTCTTATACATGCTCCCATAATTTTCCAATAACGTTCCAAAATAGAAGCTACTACTATTACAGCAATGATAAGAAAATTGAGACCTCAAGAGGGAAAATCAAATCTGGATTTGAACCAGTCATTCTAAAAACCTTTTTTCATTGGTATACATTTTACAGATAGAGATGGGTTTCATGAAGACATTGGTGTTCAAGCATGTCATGTCATTTGACTTCAGTCATCCCTCCAGCTGCTCTTAACCAGATTATCTCTTTTTCCTTCTCCCTCTGCTTCATCTGTGTGGTAATTCTCCTCCTGGTCAATCAGCATGGTTGGAGTTAAAAGAGGCATTTTGAGTTAATAGAAAGCATTTTGGAGTCCTTGAAATTATTTTCTCTTTCACAGTTCTGGTGGATTGAATCCAGGGCCTTGTCCATGCTAGGCAAGTGCCCTACCATGGAAATAACCCAAAGCCCTTAAAGATGCATCACTCACTATATCTCAAGAATCTCAAAATCAAGTGATGTGGTCACTTATACACCATACTTGTCACTAACATCCAAAATTAATGCAAGAGGCCACGTGCCTAAGGCAGAAAATTAATGAACACTAAGCACCCACCTGCTTCTTGACATGTATATTGCCTTCCACGGGGAGATTGTAGGCACTCTGAATCAGATTTCGGGCAATGAAGTAGTAGTAGACAGAGATGATTGACAGTGGGATAATGTAGAAAACCAGAAAGGAAGCCATAGAGTGAATTTTAGGGTGCAGCTCATTAGAGTGTGGGTAGGGGGCACAGCTAATGAAGGTTTGGTTGGTATCTTTCACATGGAAGGGATGGAGGTCAGAAAACACAGCCTCTGGGATGGCCAACAGCATAGAGACGATCCAGATCAAGGCAGCTTTGAGACAGATCTTCATCAGGGCGTGTGATGCCTGGATATCCATTGGCCGCACAATGGCTTTGTACCTGGGACAGCAAAAAGGGAATGGTTCTGTGTAAGTTGTTCAAAATCATTATGGATGATACCACAGCCAGGACCAGGGTGAGGCAAGTTAGGCTGCTGAGGTGCAGAGTTTAAGGAGGTACTCACCATTAAGCTCGTGAAAATGTTTACTCTGAATTCTCATGAACCCCAAAGTGAGTGCCTTCTGAAATGTGGCACCCTGAGCATGTACCTTGCCTCATTCTAGCTGGTCTATAATAGATGCCTTGAGAAATAACATTCTGTTCTCTCTTTCTCTGTGTGTCTCTCTCTCCTCTCTTTCTCTCTCCTTTTCTCTATTTTTAGTTTAGAGGTTTAAACAATTTTATGTACATTTTCATATCTTCTTTGTTTAAATTATTATATAATACAATTACATCATTTTCTCTCTTCCTTTTCCTCCCTTTAAAGCCTCCCATCTCTCTCTCTCTCTCTCTCTCTCTCTCTCTCTCTCTCTCTCTCTCTCACACACACACACACACACACACACACACATCCCTAAATATATAATACAATGTGCTCAGTCCATTTAGTGTTACTTGTATGTGTATAATTTCTGGGCTGACCATTTAGTATTGAATAATATATTAGGTGAAGTCTTCTCTGGAGAAAACTACTTCCCCCTCTTAGCATTCCTTAGATGCCGGGAGTTGTTTGTCTAGGTATGGACTCCCACACAATTTCCTATTTAAAAATTATATATATTTATTTATTGTGTACAATATTATGTTTCAAAATATGTATACATTATAGAAAGGCTTGAGCGAATTAGCATATGTATTATCTCACGTAGTTATCTGGTTTTTGTTTCTATGAAGCCAATTAAAATTGACTGTGATTTTCAAGCATATAATACATTGTTAATAACTGTAGTCACTGTGCAGTACAATTCACTGTGTCTCTTGATTTTAAGAGTGCTTCTCAGAAAAGCTGATGTTCCTTTCAGTTTTCTTAATAAATTGCAGAAATGAATAACAAAGCAAATTGCTACCTAAAGAGAGACACAGAGACAAGGAGCTTATTTTTATTTTGTAAAATCTTCATTTTGAATCTTCACATTCATTTCTGGGAACCTGGAGTCCTTGAGGACTTTCAGTGTTTCTCTTCGTTCTTTCAAAGAATGAGGATTGAACAGGCCATTGAAAATGCTATACCCAAAAGGAGGCCTATAATTAACAAACTAATCTTTGCTTCACCTTCTTACCCTCTTCCTTCTGCCCTGTCTCCTTACTGTTTTGTGAGGTACCTGGGTTAAGGACTCTGGGAAGCAGACACCAGCCTGAAGTCAAGAGTACAAAGGTTTATTGGGGGTGGATACCTGAGCTGAACCAGCTAATGAACTGTTGACTCAGTTACTGAAGTTTCTCTTTCTCTTAAACATCTGACCAGAAAATACAGCTAGTTAATGATTGATACTGAAAAGATTTTTGATGTTAAAGAAGTGATCATAACAGCCATGTTTTAACTTTGGAGAGGATAAATAAGAAGAATAGATGGACTGGTAGAAAAAGAGAATGAAGCAGACTTAAGGGGAAACAGAGACAATGTGGTCCTAAGTCATAGAGGGTCCTTGTTTTCTGACCTGTGAACTACTTTTGAACATGCAGCCTCATGTTATAATTGGAATATTCTCTTACTGCCTTTTCTCTTGAATTGCTTTAAGTGGATTCCATTTTTTTTTTTAACCAAAAGAGCCTTATAGGAAACAGTCAACCACAATGGTCATTTGAAGCTGCCACCATATTTATTCCCAGGATCATTTCCTCTTTTAGTTAGGGTTTCTATTGCTGTGAAAAGACACCATGACCACGGCAATTCTAAAAAGAAAACATTTAATTGGGTGGCTCACTTATGGTTTCAGAGGTTCAGTCTATTATCATCATGACAGGGAGCATGGCAGCATGCAGGCAGATGTGGTGTTGAAGTAGTAGCTAAGAGTCCTACATCTTGCAGGCAACAGGAAGTCAACTGAGACACTGGGCAGTATCTTCAGCACACCTCAAATCCTGCCCCCACTGTGACACACTTCCTCTAGCAAGGCCATACCTACTCCAACAAAGCCACACCTCCTAATAGTGCCACTCCCTATATGCTTATGGGGGCCAATTACCGTTAAACTACCACATTTCTCAGGGGTCATTTCCGGCCCTTAAAAGAATAATTTGTCTCTTTGCACTTAAGGGATAGATATGGAAATGCTTAAATCTCCACTACATCTCTGCTTTCCTCTTCTGTTCATGCTCAATCCCACAGTCTGCATGCATCTGAATCCAGTCCTTCCCAATTCTAGTTTAAGTGTCATCTTGAAGGTTTCTCAAACACTTTCATTCTTTCCCCTAACTTGTCTGAATTTTTTGATAGAGTTATGAGCTCGTTTCATTTTACACTTACTATGCACTGTCTTTAGTTAATTATTTATGATACTGAGGATCGAACCAAGACCTTGCTCATGCAAGCTAGGCAAGCCCTCTCTATAGCCCCATATTTCTTTCTCACTTTTCATTTTGAGACAGTCCTTATAAATTGCCTAGGTTTGTCTTGAACATACTCTATAGCCCAGGTAGGTCTCGAACTTGCAATTCTCCTGCCTCTGTTTCCTGAGTAACTTGGATTATGGGATGCACTACCTGGTCAAACATTAATTTATTGTTTCCTAGGTTTTTTTATGGGTATGTCTTTTCTACCTGACTTTTTCATCAGTTTCCTCTGGTCTGAAGATTCTGGCTTCTTCTCTCCATTTCTTTCTATATTATGCAAAATGTCCCAAGTCCCTTGTTCTACATATGTTTAAGTAGGAGCTCAGCAAACACTTGCTATTGGTTGTAAATATGTAACTTGCAGAAGTCTCTCATTTCCAAGTTCTCACAAATGAGAGAGAGGGGCTTCACTATTACATACTTAGTAATATTCATTCTTTTGTAGATGGGCAAATTCACTCCACTGATATGAGACTCAAGGGTTTCCATTTCTAAAAACATCTGTGCTTCATTTTTCTTGTGTCAACATTGGAAAGGGTGAAGTATGGTCTTCACAAAATTAATACATCAAAGACTCAAACTAATTGGCTCTTGTGTCCAATATTGGAAACCTTTGTCCACAGAAAGGCATGACTCAGATGATAACTCAGATGATAGTTTTATTTTATTATTTTATTCAAATATTTCAGCCCTTAATGTGTCTATAATGATCTACTGTAGTCAGTAGAAATTGTTGAACATCAACCCTTTAAAACTCTCAGTACAAGCCAAATGCTCACTATACAGAGAAGACTGGTCCAGAAGAATAAGACAAAATAGTCTCTGAGGTAACTGACATGTTTCCTGAATTTAAATTAGAATCCTTCAGGTAAACTTTGACAAAACTACAAAACTCTGGATTTCTTTTCCCTCAAGAACAGCACCTACAATCCCCCTTGAAGAAATGTGAGGTTCTTATAAGCTGATTGTAAGATGCCTATAACCCAGAGTACAGAGCAGTGGAATCTTTTTTTAAAAAGGTATGGGGGTTCATAGGATATATTCTGATCATGCATTTTCCTCCTCCAACTCCTCCCTGATCCTCTTTACTCTCCCCTACCCCCATCCCTCTGAGCTATATCTCAGCAAGCAGATTAGTGGTCCTTGTAGAAGATCCAATCGTTCTCTTTCAAATATGTGATATATACATATGTCATCCTTTTCTGATTTTTCTCCAGGTTAATAGCTCCAGTGCTCTTTTCATCCCGTCTTAATATACTCTAGTTTCTCCTGGCTTGTAACATAGACTTGTGACCAAAGCAGAATCCCCAGGGAAATGGCTGAATGGAGGGAAGGGTTGAGAAAAAAGAAAAAGACATAAAGTGAGGAAATTGGAGAAGAATAGAGAAGGAAGCAGTAAATAGGAGGAGATGTTAGGTAAATGGAGATGACAGAAGGAATAAGGAGAAGAAAGGCCTAAACATTGTCTGACTCTTTAATACCATGCTGTTGTTGTGTCATGCCCTCACCAATGTATTCACCTAGACTTTGTCAGTGTAGCTGACTGTCCCAAGGAAGCTAGTGTAAGAGCAGTGGGGAACTGAGGGGGAGTTGGACACCTAAGGAAAAGTCTTTTTTTTTTCAAGAATAGGCAGGGCTGTCACAAAGTAGTAACTCTCACAGCGAAACACAACTCTGCCATGTGAAATGCATGCCCCCCCAAGCATGTGGGGTGGCTTAGGCACTAGTATTACAAGGCTGAAGATCCTCAAAATGTGCAGAGTTGATACAGCTGTAGCCCTTGTTTCCCCATCTAAGGCTTAGTGGAAGTCATATGAACAAATTAAAGTTGGGCATAGAGTTGAATTCAATCTTTCTTTCCTGTTGCAAATGTATCAAAAAAGACTTTCATTCACTTTAAATGAAGGATCATAAACTAACTGACACAAGGAGTTACTCCGTTTCAAATACAGGGTATAAGCACCCCTCATTGGGCTTGTTGGGAATACCACTCAATAAAGAATAAACAGACGTGCACATTCAATATACATGTTTTTGTTTATAAATAATACATATGCCCTAAGAAAATATTATAAAGTTATTACTCACTAAAGGAAAATAGAAGCTCTTGGGCAAAAGTTTAATTGTACATCTAAAGCAGGAACTGTATCAGTTGAACCTCAAATACATTATGGTGCCAGACAGAAAGGAAGTGCTTACAGTGAGAGATTTATAGTAATGAACATAGAAAACTTACTGAAGAGTCTTCTAAGGACAATTTTAGCAATAAAATTAGAGCAGTGGTAATAGATAACTCAGTGAATTTAAACCTATTCATAAATCTATGCTGTTATTATTTTTTATTTTATGTGTATGTGTGTGCCCCTGCTTGAGTTTATGTGCACCGTGTACATGCAGGTACCTCTGGAGGCCAGAAGAGGGAGTCAGATTCCCTGGAGTTGCAGTTACAGGCAGTTATAAGCTAACCAACATGAGAACCAACTTGGGTCCTCTGTAAAAGCATTACT